TGGATCCATTTTTTAATGAACTGAAAAAAGAATCCCCAGTGGTTCCCTTTGTGTGAAGAAAACAAGGTAAATATTAGCTGGGAAAGGTCATTTTGGTTTCCAATATACGAGGAGTTCATTATGATGGGTTCTGATAAATTATACTGTGTATTTCTTTCCAGTAACAGAAGGTCACATTGTGCTCTTGGGTGTCCATCAGGACACACACACTTAATAAAGTTGGAGGATCTGAGAGATGAACAGTTGCCAGTTTTTTTTTTCCCCAAGTAACGTATTTATCCAGTTATTCAAAACCATTTCCTTCCTATAGAGCTGATCACTCAAGGTCTTTTCTCTCTCTTCTGTAGCCCCAAAGGGCTGAGGGTCTTCAAGCCTGTCACCTGAAGTGTTCCTTAGGCAAACATCTGTAATTATCTCCAGGGCCATCCAAAGAAGAGCACAATCTAAGTTGTGTTTTGTGGTGAATTTGTAATGGGTTCAACAGGATTCAATAGTAATTAGACTGTGTTGCAAGGATTTTTTTTTTTAATGGAGGTACTGGAGATTGAACCCAAGACCTCGTGCATGCTAAGCATGTACTCTGCCACTGAGCTGTACTCATCCCACTGAGTTTATGTCATATCTGCAACTGAAATATTTTTGATGCCCATCATTATTTCTCTCTGATCTCCACCCCTGGGAGGGAGGTATGTAACCGGCAACGTTAAAAATGGTATAGTTTTATTTGTTTCACGTCTTTTCCCTTGAGATGTCTTGGATAGGAATCATCTGAGTTCTTGAAAAAAATGTTTTCACTGAGTAGAAGAGTCCTTTTAGGTCTGCATTAAAGGAGCGTGTTGAGTCTCAATTGTGGTATTAACAAACAAGTGTGGGGTTTTTGTGGGGTTTTTTTGTTTGTTTTTTGGGTTTTTTTTAGTATTTTGGTATGGAGTTTTACATTGGAATGACTTTTGCCCTCTGCCTCCCATCAACATTTTTCAAAAAACATCCTTGCCAATCGTTTAGCATCATCTTCAGGTTTATATGATCCAAAGCTGGGAACTCAGGTCTTCATGCTGGCTTTTCCATTGCTCTGTGAACTTGGGCAAGCTGTGGCACTCTTGGGATTAGATCATTCCAATTTTGTTTTCATGGTTGATGAAATGTGAGAGTGAAATTCTGCATCCTGAGTGGTTTGGGACCCTCTGTCAAATTTGGGATGCCTTTGCTGCAGAAAGAATGTCTACTTTAAAATTATATTCTGTTAACTAGTATGTGGCTAGTTAATGAGGGCAGAATTCTGTATCTCCCCCTCCCCCACCCCATCTATTGGGACACACTTTACGAATGTGGATGTGTTTGACGGTCTACCACTTGCCTGCAACCACAGGCGTCATTGGAAAAAAAAACCCCATTATTTTCCTGCTGGAAATCTGTATCATTTCAACATGAAAATGCTAATGGTTTCCTGTCTTTTTTGTTTTCTAAATAGGTCTTCCAAACTAAGTAACTTTTTGGAACTGCAGAAATGGTTGATCCCAGCTACAAATGGGAATTTGGAGTCATTCGGAAATACATCCTGGAATAATTGTGTTTGACTGGAACCAAATCTTATGAAGTCTCCAAGGTAAAATGATTTTCACACATACCTAGAGATGATATCTTTACGAAGCATTAAGAATTTAGCGACACTGACTGTCTCAGAGTTGATGATCCTTTATAAAAGCCTTCTTTTATGTTGGGTTTTTGGGGATTCGGGGAGTTTAAAAAATTTTATCTCATCTTTGACATTATTTCAGTTTGTAAAGCAGTGTTTTGGTTATGTAGCAGGGTAAATGGTGACATTTTTAAGATAAACCAATTTTGTTTTGCATTTGGACAGTAATGTTCAATGTAGAAGAATCTGAAGTATTACAGTAGACGTTGTAGGTGAGAAATCCTTCTACTGGGGGTCTGGATTATTGGATGAAATAAAGAATTATTGCTCAGTAGGTGCCCACTTAGGCATTTCTCCAGGAAATCATAGCTGTCGTTAGGGAGAGAATTGTTCTCGGCCCTGGGAACTCATTGCTTTTCATCCTGGACGCAGGTACATAGAATTATCCATGAAGAAGTCAGATCAGGGATGATTACCCGAGATTTCAAATAGTGGCCCTTGGAGAATTTTAGATTTGGGATTTGTTGTTGGTATCCAACCAGGAAAACAAACCATTCTGAGAATGTGGAACAGAGGGAATTGAATTCAGGGCACCAGTTACACATGTGGTATGAGAGTAAGAGAAATAACACGGAGGACGTGGAGGTGGCCCAGAGATGAGCAACAGCAGGAAGCTGCTAGCATCCTGAGGCGGCTGGGACCCCGGAAGGCAGCCCTGCGTGCTGGTGCCTGGGGGAAGGGACCTTCAGTGGGAGCTGGAGCCACAGTGGGCCCTTCTGGCAGGAACTGACACCACAGGGGACACACGGCTGCTCCATCGATCCTGCCAAGACCGAGAAGGTGGGAAGAAATACCCCAGCCTTTGCCTTCCACCCTCCAGGCTCCAGCCAGTGTCTCCTGTTGGTTAAACCCAGGCGGGCAGGAGCCAGGTGATTCAGGGCTGCGGAAAATGCAGCGTGCAGGAGGCACCAGGGGAAGGGGAACGGATGGGCCTGAGGGCAAAACAGGCCCAGACTGGGACAGGGTTCGTATTTCAGACCTCTTCCCATGACATTTTAATGAGCATGGCCTGGACTTCTGTCCCTCAGAGGACGGGTCTTCTCTTGAGGCTGATGCCCACAGCCCCATGAAGTAAAGTTTGCGTATGCCCTGGAATCTTCCGTCTGAAGATGGACAGTAGTGGACACTATGATGCACTGACTAGAACCCCCTTCAGGAATGAGGTGTCCCCTCAGCTGTTGGAAGTACTGCAGAAGATAGCCTGCAGCTTCTTTGAATTATCCTCAATTCTAAGAGCTACCTTGTCTAAGATTACCCCTTACATCCAATTACTTAGCACAATGTAAGTACAAAGGCTGGCTCCTCACCCCAACTTGGGACCACAGAGAAGGGGAATGTCCATTCATATGAAGTTAAGTTTGTTTATTCTACCAGCTTCATTGAGATACAGCTGGCACATAGCATTGTATATGTTTAAGATGTACAATGTGTTGATTTGGGATGTTTAAATTGCAAAATGATTAGCACCATAGTATCAGCTACCACCTTCATACCATGGAGTTCTTATTTCTTTTTTGTGGTGACAACATTTAAGATCTACTTTCTTAGCAACTTTCAAGTATATGGTACAGGATTGTTAACTATAATCACCATGCTGTACATTACCTGCCCAGACTTGTTCATCATATAGCTGGAAGATTTGACCTTTGACCAGTATCTCCCCATTTCCCCCACTTCCAACCCTAGGTAGCCACCATGCTACTTACTCTCTGTTTCTCTGAGTTTGTCTTTATTCGATTATATATATAAATGAGACCATATAGTATTTGTCTTTCTCTCTCTGACTTACTTTACTTGATAATAATGCCCTCAAGGTCCATCCAAATTTTTTGCATATAATAGAATTTCCTTTTCATTGCTGCATAGTATTTCATTATATCTATCTATCTATCTATCTATCTATCTATCTATCTATCTCACTATCTCACTCACATCTTCTTTATCCATTTATATCTTGGCATCCATATGAAGTTAAGTTTATTTTATATTCACCTGTACTGGCCCATATTTTCAGCAAACTTTGAGATTGGATTAAAAATTATTAGCTCAGTCTTCCAGGCCAGAGGGCATTAATATCCAATCAGAGAAACCAGATGCAGAAACCATGTACCTTTTATTTGAATCCAGCTCTTTGTGTGTAGCTTTTAAAATTTCATGACATAAAATAGTATATAACCCCAATGTGTTACCAGGGTGACTCAGGCTACACTCTAGGGATTTATAAACAGCTACATGCCTTGTGAGAAGGCTAACTTGGAAAACTTGAAAGTATAAAAGGTTTTTATTGAAAATTGAGCTAATACCCAGTGCAGATAAGGTTTGATTGGCCTTCAGTGTCCTTGAGGGGAAAAGAAGTCCGCTGCCCAGCATCTCCCACTGTTGTCCCCCACCTTCTCAGGATCCTGTTTGCGGAAGAGCCCCGCGCCACTCAGCCCTCACTGCCTTGCGTCCTGCTTTCTCTCCAGGATGAGAGTCTGTGCTCGGTCGGTTTTGCTGTCGCACTGGCTCTTTCTGGCCTACGTGTTAATGGTGTGCTGTAAGCTGATGTCCGCCTCCAGCCAGCACCTCCGGGGACACGCAGGTAAACCCTTTAAGCTCATTATGCGTCGCTGAGATCAATGAATTAAAACCCTTGAATCAAACAGGAGAGCCCACATTTTAGACACAGGTAATTGACACGAGCTTTGATGGTGTGTAAACAAGCAGGGGAGGCATGAAAGACAGCAGAGTTTAAATGCATTTGAACGGGTTGGTGTTTACAGAGTGTTGTTCTGGACATCTTTTTTTTTTAAAGATGTTCTCCAGATTTCCCTTTTTCCTTTTCCTTTCCTGAATACACTTTTTTTTTTTTGTACTAATTTTTCTCAAGAAATTCCGGAAAACCAGCAGCACTGTGTATATATACTCCAGCTACCTTTGAAGGCAGAACATCTTTATTGATAAATGTAAACGAACACTTACAGGGCTATAGTGAAGGGAGCTTTCAGCTAACTTAAAACTCGTAACATAGTGAATGATTGAAAAAGAAGAAATAAGCAGTGGTAACTTTTGCACAGGGCTGAAAATGGAGTGTGTCAAAGTTTTAGAGAATCATTCTGATAATTTCTAGTCAGACCCATGTCAGTACCTTGCTCATTTCTAAAGAAAGATTAAACTAATTAGTTAAGCGTGTGTGTGTGTGTGTGTGTGTGTGTGTGTGTTTCTCTTCCCTTTTCCTTGTTATATCTACATTTAAAGTGACACAGACTTGAAAAATCCCTGGTGAATTGTGTTTTCTTGAATAATTCATATTTGTCGGTGGACCTGTAGCCAAACAATTAACTTACTGTCTCTGCTTGGGTAATTGGAGCAGGGCAGTGCCAGGCATGTTTTGACTTTAAAGTGAAAGAGTGATGCTTGAGCCCTAAGTCATGTATGTGTCAGAATTGTCAAGTCTCTCTCCAAGAAAGTATGCAGAGAAATTCATTAGACATCCTTACCCTCAGATCCACGGCAGGTCAGGCTTTCCACTCAGTTATTCTGATAATTTAAAGTTAAGACATGATTTTAGGCTTGAGTTTTTAAACTCTCTCACAACTCAGTTTTCCATCCTCAAATGACAGTTTCAAGAAGACAGGAGAAATAATCATTGAAACTTTAATGAATCAGCATAGAATCAATGCATTTTGGCTGTAGCAGAAGTGCCCAGGGCTAGCTGATCATTGTGCTGCATAACTTTTGATGAGCTTTTTCTTGAGGCTGGCATGTCTGAAGTCACTAGTCTTATCTGTTCCATACATGTCTCCTTTCTTGGGTGCTCACAGAGTCAGGCTAGCAAAGAAGACAAGCAATTCAGTGGTGCTGTTTATGACTAGTATAATTCCAGGTTTCCAGGACCTGGGTTGGAGGGGTTGTGCTGGAAAGTGATCAACGTTTGAAGGAAACAGAGGACACGACTGAACCTTCGATTTTTAATCTTTGTGGCAATCCTCACTTCATTCCATAACCCTTTAAATTGGGAAAAGGTGGAACTAAATCTCAATTAAGATTAGAATTGTGTACACCAGAAAGGCAGTATCTTCCATATAAGCAAAAACCCGACAGCAACAGGGAGGGTGAGAAGTCTGAGTGCAGCCTGGGCAGGTCTGGATAAATAAATGAGAAGCTCATGCTAGAATTTTTAGATGATTTTATTTGGATTCTCAGGTACTTGGCTTTTGGTTTCTCTTTGAAATTTGGGGGAATTCTTCCTGCTTTCATGTTTGGAATTTAAGTCCCTGTCCCCTCTCATCTTAACAGCCACCAAAGCAACCAGGATGGGGTCCTGCCCACAGGGGACTCTGTCCTCTCACTGGGGCTGCGGCTGCCTGCCGAGCCATCTTTGCAGAGGTACAGGCATGCCTCCTTTTACTGCACTTGGCTTCTTGACCTTGCTGCCCAGATATCGCTTTCTTTGCAAATCAAAGGTTTGTGGCAAACCTGCATAGAGCGTCTATTGTTTCCATTTTTTTTAACAGCATTTGTTTACTTCATGTCTCTGTGTCACATATTGGTAATTCTTGGATATTGCAAACTTTTCCATTATTACTGTATTTGCTGGGATGATCTGTGATCCAGGATCTTTGATGTGACTATTGCAAAAAAAGATTATGACTCGCTGAAGCCACAGATGGTGGTTAGCATTTATAGCAATAAGGTACTTTAAGATTAAGGTATGTACATTGCTTTTTTTTTAGACATGATGCTATCGCTTACTTAATAAACCACAGTATAGTGTAAACATAACTTTTATATGCACTGGGAAACCAAAAAATTCATGTGTCTTGTTTTATCTCGTTATTTGCTTTATTGTGCTGATCTGGAACCAAACTCACAAAATCTCTGAGGTCTGCCGGTACATTTTGCCTCTGCGCTAGGTGGGGGCGGGTTTGTAGCGTCTCTGAGTGCTAGGTGGGTAAATAACGTCAGCTAGCTCTGCTGCACTACGGTCTTCTAGGGCCCTCAGTGGAGGGAAGCCCTGTCTTTTCCACCCGCGGCCCTCAAGACTGTTCTGGCGTGGTCTCTGTTCCAGCCAGCAGGAGGGCAGCGGGCAGGGAGGGCACACCTGGGAGGCGCTGACGATCAGGGCGGGGTGCTGACGGCATCGCTTGAGCTGTCCTGCCATTGGCTGGAGCCTAGGCCCCGCCCCCACCTAGCGCAGAGGCTGCTGGGAAACGCGCCCGACCTGCGGGCCCAGGTCGAGGAGGAGGCGGAGGACGGAGGTCTTTGGTGAGTGTCCGGCAGCCTCTGGCACAGCGCTTTAAGGTTTTAGTTGTGCCAAGTGCCTTTCACAACTTTTAGACTAACTTATATTTCCGCCAACAGTAGTAGCGTGATAATGGCCCTTTCCGCGCACCCTCATCAACTCTGGGTGAGCTCAGGTTTTGATGTTTTGCAAATCTGGTCATGAAAAAGGCTGTTGGATTGTTTTGACTTGCATCCCTTTTTGACTAAAGACTCTTAATGTGCTGGGGGAGTATTTGTATTTGTTTTTTCCATTGCACTATCTTATCCTTTATTCATTTTTCCTCTTGGCTCTGTTGGTTACTTGTTTTGCGAAAGCTCGTTGTAAATTGAGAACACCTGAGTGTGTTCACCATTATTTCCCTGCTACTTACTGCTTTTCCTTTGCCGGGTCCTCCGGTTCTAGTGGGGCTGTGTAATATTTCAGGTCGGGGGTGGGGGTGTGGGTAGGTGTGGGTGTGGGTGTTGTGAAGTTTTCTAATGAGCCGGAAGCGTGTGGAGTTTCTTCCCGAATTGCGCTCAGCTGGTGAAAAAGTCAAGGGTCAGACTTGAGAAACTGGTGGGATTTTTGGGTGTATCTGAGACAGCTTGAGACTGGAGCAGGCTGCAGAAGAGTTAACTGCAGGAGCTCGTGTACAGTGTCCAGGAGGACTCCTGACACCTGTCCCAAGAGCTTTGTGGTTGCTGCTGGCCAATTAAAGAGACCGTGGCCCTAGGAAACCGTAGTCACAAGTTTATTGGATGCTTTTAATGGCTCAGGTGAGAGTGGCTGATTGATGATTGTGTCTAAACGAGGAGATATTTGAGAATCCCATCTCCACCCGTCCCCTTAAGACAGACACAGGGGAGAAGGTGGGACTCAGCAGCCCCTAATTTGGGCAAATGGGGTGTGGAATGAAGTTTCATTTTGGTTCAAGCGTTAAAAATCGAAACAAAATAAAAACGCACCTCATTTTCACAGGGTGGGTGGTGGGAATCAAGGCAAATGGCATTGATAAACTTGCACAAGAGTCTAGAGGTAGTATTTTTAAGAAATTAGAAAGCACAAAGGTCATCTTTGTTGTTTCTAAAATTCTACCTGACATGATTGAATACGAGACCACATGGGCTAAAACCATAGAAAAGGTGCAGGGGGCAATCAGTAGCTTAGTTTCTTTTAAAAGGAAGCCTGCGTTAACTCTTACTTCTCCAACTAGCAATTTGTCCTTTCCCGCATGATTTTCTTTCCCTCTGCATGCAGCATCATTTTCCCCCACAAGAGGGCAGCAAATGTAACGCCGCGGAAAGATGCTGACAGTTTCAGAAACTATATAGAGTCATGTGAAATTGTTTAGAGATAAACAGGTTTCTTCTGTATAGCACAGGGAACTCTATTCAATATCTTGTAGTAAATTATAATGAAGAAGAATATGAGAAGGAATATATGTATGTATATGTATGACTGAAACATTATGCTGTACATCAGAAACTGACACAATATTGTAAAGTGACTATATTTAAATTTTAAAAAGCCTACTTTCAATTAAAAGAATAATCATTTTGGGGTCTTTGTGAAAGTCTCATCCTGAGTCCACAGGATGAGTTTGAGACACAAAACACCCTCCATCCTGGAGGTTTATCCCTGAGACTATTTGGACATTTCAGAAATTTAGATTTTTCTCTTTGAAGTCAGAATCATGGCTCCTCTTCTGAAGTAGCTGGGAGAGTTGGGAACTCGGGTGCTGCTGGTCTGCAAGTTCATTTTGATAGTTCCATTTCGCCAGAGGACTTTAAGGATGACCTTGTTTGGGGTGTTTTAATTCCAGCAAATGCTATGGTGCCTAGCTACTATTTAATATGCTCTGTTTAGGTGTAAAGCCTCCTATTTGGTATATTCCATCCAGGTTTTAAGGCCCTGAGAAATCTGAGCACAACTTAAAATGAGACAGTGGAGCGTAAGGAATCTGGAGTCAAACATAATCCTGGTTCTGCCACATTCTGGCTGTGTGACCTTGTTCAGGCTACTTAACCTCTCTGAACCTGTTTCATTCTCTGTAAAAATGGAATGATGTACGTGCCTACCTTATGAGGTTATTAGAATGACTAGATAAGAAAGTAGGTGAAGGGATTAGTACATAGTAAACTCTTAATAAATGGTAGCTATTTTTCCACATTTAGAGGCCTCCAGAATGAGGAGGAGTCTGGAAACTTTCAAGGAGTGATTGAGGACTCCATAGCTCCCTACGCGTAGGGAGATAGATTCAGTGGCTTAAAATTTGAAGATTTATCGTGTACAAGGGAAAAAAAACTTGTTTTCATTGTTCTGAAAAGCTGACTGTA